CTGTGGCTAATGGGGAAAATGCCTTTCAGGGCCTAGAACCCAAATTAGAGCCCCAGGAACTATCTCCTCTCTCTGCTACTGTTTTCCCCAAAGTGGAACATAGCCCAGGGCCTCCATCAGCAGATACAGAGTGCCAAGAAGGATTGTCAGAGAACAGTGCCTGTCGCTGGACTGTTGTGAAAACAGAGGAGGGAAGACAAGCTCTGGAGCCGCTGCCTCAGGGCATCCAGGAGTCTCTAAACAACTCTTCCCCTGGGGATTTAGAGGAAGTTGTCAAGGTGGAACCTGAAGATGCGAGAGAGGAAATCAGTGGATCCCCTGAGCATGACATTTGTGATGACATCAAAGAGGAACATGCTGTGGAATTGGACACTGGCGTCACAAGCGAGGAGTTGAACAGTGCTAGAGAGGTAAAGAAACAGACAGTCTTACAGAAGGAAGAGGAGAGGAGTCAGCCAGCTAAAACCCCTTCATCTTCTCAAGAGCACCCTGATGAAGGAACCTCAGGGACAGATGTGAACAAAGGATCATCAAAGAATGCTTTGTCCTCGGTGGATCCTGAAGTGAGGCTTAGTAGCCCCCCAGGGAAGCCAGAAGAGCCACCCAGTGTTGATGGTCAGTCAGTGGAGACTCCAGTTGGGCCAGAAACTGGAGGAGAGAAGAACGGGCCGGAAGAAGAGGAAGAAGAGGACTTTGATGACCTCACCCAAGATGAGGAAGATGAAATGTCATCAGCTTCTGAGGAATCTGTGCTTTCTGTCCCAGAACTCCAGGTGAGAGCTGGAGAATATTCTCAAGTATTTTGTGGACTCAGTAATATGTTTAATTTATTGATATGCCACCTGCTTGCTTGCTACACTATGGATAGTCCTAAAATCATTTTTATTTTATTTGTAATGCATTATGGAACATGATTGTGAAGTTGAGGTGAAATGAGATGGAAAGGATGAAATTTTACTGATTATATTAAACTGATTTACACATTAAATTGAATCACCTGACCATACTTTAGATGCCTTAAAAAATTAAAAAATAGTAATAGGCTGGGCTTGGTGGCTCACGCCTGTAGTCCCAGCACTTTGGGAGGCTGAGGTGGTTGGATCACAAGGCCAGGAGTTTCAGACTGGCCTGGCCAACGTGGTGAAACCCCATCTATACTAAAACTACAAAAATTAGCCAGGCGTGGTGGTGGGTGCCTGTAATCCCTGCTGCTCGGGAGGCAGAGGCAGGGGAATCGCTTGAGCCCGGGAGATGGAGGCTGCAGTGAGCTGAGATCGCATCATGGTGCTCCAGCCTGGGCAACAGAACAAGGCTCCGTCTCAAAA